CGAGTCAGTTACCGGTTACAGGTTGCTAGTCGAGCAGGTGGAGCAGGTGGAGTGTATTATCAGTTGACAGTGGTTGTAAGCAGTGACGTTTCGGTTCCGAGCCAGTAGGTGTTGATCGCTGCCGTTTAAGGTGACAGCGATGATTTTCCAAGTTATCCCTTCTGCTGCTTAAAGGACTTCTGGCAGATGTTACAGATGTTACCTATTGACGACACTGGTGTAGATACAGGATGTGCACTCACTCTTGGTGTTAATAATTCAATTCGTTTGAGATTACGTCTAGGTCATCTGTACAATTGTTCACAGTGGCCAAACTTTCCAACTCAGACAGTGTCATCACACTGTTCGGATAGTTTTGTTTCGATTCCATTCTATAAACAAAATAAAACAAACTATAGAAGTTCTTAAAATTAGCAACAGACTTTCTGCTTCATAAATACAGATTAAGTGCGATGTTGTGGTCTCGGTTGCGAATTATACTAGTAATGTATCATAAGGATAGCATCGTATTTTGTTATCTCAACCATAAAATACTTCACTTTCCTTATTTAACCATGTAACAGTGTTTAAAAGATATCTTTGAAAGCAAGGTTTTTGTGCTTGAATAATATTCAATTACCTTGGTAACACACTGTGTAACAGCTTAAATTGACCCAACGTAGGTCTCGGCTGCTGGCAGACAACAATATGAAATTTCAATGCCGCTCTTCAGTTTATAAAGGGTAATAAAAAAAGGATGAGTTCATTGTGAGCAGATGATAAACGTTTCCATGCAAACATATGACATTTGCCATCACAATCATGCCAGGGGTGATAGGTGTGGCAATACATACTTAGACTGGAATAACATTCAATTACCTTGGTAACACACTGTGTAACAGCTTAAATTTACACAACGTCCGTCTCGGCTGTTGGCAGACAACAATATGAAATTTTAATGCCGCTCTTCAGTTTATAAAGGGTTACAAAAAAGGATGAGTTCACTGTGAGCAGGTGATAAACGTTTCCATTCAAACATCTGACATTTGCCATCACAACCATGCGAGGGGTGATAGGTGTGGTCACAATACATACTTAGACTGAGCCTCTAGTGTGTTTTATGAATGAATCACCCCTACATCATTGACTCGTCTGAAAGGCCCCTGACATGTCTGAGCTTGTTTAAACACTCTGCAACGGATCACTGTACAGCTCTTATATAGGTTACTACCTACGGTGGAAAGATGTAAGGGCAGCATCCCGCATACCACCTGATGAGTCACCATATCAAACAAGCAGTTTTCTCTTAGCTTGAAAACACTATAGACACATAATATTACACGCAGGCTTTTAATGACACAACAGTATGTATGTAAACTATCGCATTTACTTTAGACTTCAGCGCCCCCTAGGGTGAGAATGGACCATCAGATTTTTTTACATGGCACGTGACGATTTAAAGGTCAAGCAAAATATATACTTTGTCACTGAGTACATGTCTACAATGTGTGTTAGGTTTTCGAAATCTATCTCACAAAATGTATCGACATCAAAATACTTTCCTTTTTGTTAAGTAATATTTCCCTCAGTAACATGTTGTTTTCATTCAGAACATATAGCCAAACATTTCCGTATTGTTGGCACTGCTGCCGGTGTCAGAAGACCACGATCAGTGACTCACTGATGGATTAATTGGTTGACGCTATGCTTTTGACATTGCTCACGGTTTGTCTTTGTTCTAAAAACATATATATATATACGGGTTGCTGCCTTCACGGCTCATTGAACAAAGATGTTTTGCAAATTGGATGGGCCAAAGCAGGACACATCCAACTTTACACAACCAGCAAAATAATGTGTTGACTATCGCTCAAAGTATGTTATGGAATTTTTCGAAACATTTAATCTTTTAAATTTGTTAATGGTGGTAGAATATCTAAACCTCATCAGGACTACCTCATTTGGTATACAAGATAACCCATCCGTCTACTGTTGTCATTATTCTGATGTCCGTCAATGCTGTTACAGGTTATTATACTGAGTCAAATTAAAAACTTCAAATTTTTAAAAGCAATCCCACATATGATATACAACGGACAAATGTATCAGAGAAGGTAATTTTTAATCATTAATGTCCAAAGAAGGATTTTAATTGACGGTGGCAACCATAATTTGTTTCAAGCACCTACGGTATTCGGTAATAACATCAACAGTTTAAATCATAAGTCCCAAGCACGAGAATCTGATGGCACACAAATTCAGTAGCGTGTATGGCAAACATGTGCGTTGACAACTGCCACACAACGCCTCCGCATGCACCTTGTGATGCTTGTGAACACATGATTGGGAAGACGACGCCATTGTTGCTGCAAAATGGTGGCAAGATCTCGCAAATTCTGTGGTTGGTTCTGGAGAGTGCGCAGACTTCTGCCAAGAGCATCCCAGACGTGTTTGATGGGATTGAGGTCGGGAGACCTTGACGGCCAGTCCATGACGTTGACTCCCGCATTCTGCAGGATATTCCTTGTCCAAATTGCTGTGTGGGGTCTGGCATTGTCGTGTTGGAAGATCAAACCGGGTCCATGTGCTGCCATAAAAGGCAGAAGTTCTGGTGCCAGTACCTGGTCGCGGTGAGCAGCAGGGTTGAGGTTGCAACGGATGACAAGAAGCCTGGAACGTGCATTGCCACAGAAAGCACCCCACACCATGACACTTCCGCCTACAAATCTGTCAACTTCCTGTACACAACACTGGGCGTAACGCTCATGACGGCGCCTCCACACCCTTCCTCTACCATCAGTAAATCGAAGATTAAATCAGGATGACGACTTGATTCCAATTCCTCTGAGTCCATCGTAAGTGTCGCTGTGCCCAGAATTGACGTTGACGTCTGTGTAATTGAGTCAGAATCGGCCCGAAGTATGGCCGTCGTGCTTGAAAGTGAGCAGTTCTCAGACGGTTTCGAACAGTTTGCGCACTCAGTCTACCCCTAAACAGGTTGATGTAGCCGTCAAAAATCGGTTACAGAGGTGACGTAAGACAATCTGACGATCCTCTGCATGTGACGTCACACGTGGTCGACCTGGCCGAGGGCGATCAGCGGTGGTACCCGTTTGCTGTAGATGCGTCTGTAAATCATAAACAGCCCGTCGACTACAACCCATCGTCCTTGCGACTTCGGCTACGGACGTTCCCGTCTGCAATATGATGATGGCACGTTCACGTTGCACATTTCCAAGGCGTGGCATGACAAATGGCCGTAAAGACTTTTGTTTTCTTGTGTTTTTCTTTTTTTGTTAATGACCGCTAACAAGTATGGCTGAAAACACGTGCGATATTATGGCCACGTGACCAGTTGCACGTGAAAAAACACTTTTGCCACTATAGTGCTGTGCACATGATTTTGATCGATTCACCTGGACAAAAATGGGTGTTATCTGAAGACAATACGTGGCCATTACTGTTTAAATACACAATAAGGGCCCACACTGATAACTGGTCAAAATGTTAAAATTTTAGGATTGTGAAGTTTTTAATTTGGTTCAGTTTACATTTTAAGAAATCAGTTGTCCATGTTTTTACATTTGCAATAAATGTCGCAACACTCATCTGAAATGTCCGTCAATGTTTAGGACACATGTCTCAAAGAAACATTTTAACAATTGAGTCCCTGCACTGCATGAATTTTATTGAAATGTTTTTAAAAGGTCCAAGAATTAAAGTGGCGAGCTTACCACACTGTATTGATTTGATATTGACCTTTATTTTCAAGGGTCTCAGTGAACATTTTCACTGATTATTTTTATTTGGTACATATTTGGTAGTTAAGATGATTTGGAAACCTGCAGATCTGATTATTATGATGACTATTTTAAATTTTAAAGAAACCTGAATTTCATTTTAGGGACAGAAAACGTAAATCTCTCCGTTATGGATATGTCAATAATCCCTCTTGTTAGTAGAGAGTAGAAGTATGATAGTATCCACTTTCCTCAATTTGTGAGGTAGATGACAAGGCCACATTACTGATATACACTGAGTTTCATTTCAGTATACATTCTAGAAACTAAGCTGTATTGCTAATATTAGATTTTCTTGTTATATCAAGATGAAATTTTGCCTAAGTGTGAAACAATTTAGAATGACAAGAATTATTATTTCATTCAAAAAGAATTGAAAAGCATATACGGCTGTTATGGTTGACTTTGGCACAGTCATAGCAACATGGTGAGTGTGCGAGTTGGTACTTCCGCAGCTCAGAACAGCGTTTAGAGTCAAAAGTGAACCAAAAGTTACTTTGTTTAACATCACAAATACCAGTATGGTGCTAATCAAGGTTCATATTGAATTCAAATCTTTGATTCAAAATCGTGATAAACAGATCCTTTCACAACTAAGGGGCGCAACTCTGCAAAACTACTCCCAGTGTCATAGGTCACCTGTTCTTCCCTTTTTATAACTGGGTAATTATTGCAAAAGGTTATTCCTGGTCACTGCTACCAACATACATCTTATTGACTGTTCAGAGTTCCTTACTTGGTGAAGTAACTGATAAACTGTTGTTTATTTTCCGTCCTGTAAATTGACAGATTTTAGATATGACAGATATACTTTTTTCTCAGTTTGAGGCCATAGAATCCTAATGTATCCACCGTCAAGGTGCAACATCAGCATTGGTTTATGGTGCAACATATATGTTTACTTTAGTTACAGAGGAGAAAGTATCAGTAAACCTTTTTACTTTGGTAATATAAGGACAAATCCTTTCAGCAAAAGTTACATTGTTATACCTTTCAACATTTACATTCAGCTTAAACTCTAGTTATGCATTGATTAGCAGAGAAAAATATCTTTCCACATTTTAATTGATGTTGTTACCTTTTGGATTAAATTTTTAACCTTTCACTTATTCACACACAATTGTCATTTGTTTTCAGTTTCTTGGATTTCTGTAATTTCTTGATCTAAGGCAATACTTTGTAAACAAGCCATACACAGAAGTCTTATTGTATCTACTTCAGGATGCGGTGGGCGCTACACAGGCTCGTCTGGCTCTATCTCATCACCTAACTACCCTGGCAATTACAAATACAACCTGTACTGTACCTACATCATTGATGCCGGAGACACATTGATCACTCTCGTGTTTGAAGAGTTCATTACGCAGCCATCGTACGATGTTGTCAAGGTATGTATAGTTGTTATTTTGTTAAGACGTATACAAGGTAGTGTGCGCTGTTTCTATAAGTCATTTATTCCAAGAAGGAATAGAGCATGGAAGTATAATTGTACCAGTAGTGGTCAGTGACCTTGTCGATTTCACAGCTCGTGTGTTGATAGTGATGTTAAACACACCATACGAAGATCCATTTAAAAGATACCGAGAACTTGAGCTAAATGCAACGTACCAAATTCCTCAAATAATGTGTTCTGTCCCTTATGCCCGAGATAGTCACGTCGAATTTGGAAGATGCATTGTGCGATTTCTTCCTCTTTACTGGAATAATTTTTGACCGTTTTTCTGATATTACTTCATCCATATAGCTAGAGAACCGTTTCATGGACATCTTGACAGATATCCAGCTGACGACATTAACAATCGAGTTATCACCAATGTATCACAATCGGATATGCTCTGTTAAGTTAGCTAAACTACATTAGATAGGTGTTCAGTTTCGAGATAATATTATCATATAATTGTATTCCCATTGGTTAGAGTAATGAAGTTCGACATTTCCCAGTGGGGTATATGGAATTTGTCAGCAGGGACCTGGTGAAATAAAGGCCCATTCAGTAGCCAATCAGAAACGAGTATCGTCATGCAAAGTAGGGCATATTCTGGAATACCTCAGTCCCCATAGATGACACAAGATGACATAGATGCAGTGCATCAATGTTTACCCGCCAAAGCTTGAGATGTAGAGCGGTTCTCTGAGTGATATCAAAGTGGCTTGGCCAGATTTGGGGCCGGAGGAAAACATGCAAAAACATCGTGGCTATGTGATACAGGCACACATCTACCATACTGTATATACAGGGGTGAAATCCATATATCTGTTCTCTTTTATTTCCAGCCCAGGCGGCTAAATCAGTGAAAGTGAATTGCATATGTAGCAATTGTTTAACGATTTCAGATCATCTATTTACTGGAACCTTAAGTTTGATTTTGCTGAGCCGGGCATAAATTCTGGCTCTTATGCATAAAAAAACCCAGATAATCAAGGAGGCGAGCACAATTGGTGACAAAGGGAATGCCTTTTTTTGGAGGCAAATTTGGGTGTAGGCAAAACTGGACTCAACCCTCCATTTATAAACTGCAGGTGTATGACGCCTCCAACAACCTCCTTGTCCATCTAAGTGGAGATAGAGGGGGCTACATTGTCCAGTCAGCCGTCTACTACCGTATTGTGTTTACTACGAATCATAGGGATGTCAGGAGGGGATTTAAGGCTGTATGGACAGGTATGTAGATGTTTACTTATATGATATCTTGTTTACTTTGTAATTTGTCTCCTTTCACACCTTTTCATCATCACCTTGCAGCTGATACAGGTTAGTTCACCGCACAAAAAGTCCAGCTATACGCGCTTGTAAATGCTTTGTATTGATGAGATATACAAAGTCTTAACAATTTCGTATTGATGAGATATACACAGCATAAACTACTTTGTAACGATGCTGTTTACGTTCAAAGTTGTTTTTCGTTGTATATGTTGTTGAAGAGAGATAATTGCTATGAATTGTTATATAATTGTTCTGTATGTTCAACATGCAGTGTTTCTAGGTCGCCAAATGTTTTTTAGTTGTATGTATTGGAAAAGGGGGATACTTGCTATGTATTGTTATATAATTGTTCTGAATGTCCAACATGCAGTGTGACCGCCTCCGTGGTCTTGTGGTAGAGCGTCCGCCCGGAGAGCGAAAGGTCCGGGGTTCGATCCCGGGCCGCGTCATACAAAAAGACGTTAAAAGATTGTACTTGTTGTTACCCTGTCTGGCGCTCGGCATTAAGGGGCTAAAACAAGGACTGGTCGGCTCGGAGTCAGTATACTGTGTCTGAGTGGGGTATTCATGTTAAACTGCGGCATGGTATCTCAGTGAGCTAGCACTATAAATCGGCATCAGTCCGGACTAGTACAAGCAGCCACACACACACATACACGTGCATGCACGTCGCTATATAAGTGCAATAATCTTGGACGCGACGTTAAACCCAATTTCACCTCACACCTCACCAACATGCAGTGTTTCTAAGTCGCCCAATGTTTTTAGTGGTACTGATTGGAAAAGGGGGATAATTGCTACGTATTGTTATATAATTGCTCTGTATGTGCAACATGCAGTGTTTCCTAAGTCGCCAATGTTTTTAGTTGTATGTATTGGAAAAGGGGGATAATTCCTATGTATTGTTATATAATTGCTCTGTATGTGCAACATGCAGTGTTTCCTGAGTCGCCCAATGTTTTTAGTTGTATGTATTGGAAAAGGGTGATAAATGCTATGTATTGTTATATAATTGTTATGTATGTGCAACATGCAGTGTTTCTAAGTCGCCCTATGTTTTAGTTGTATGTATTGGAAAAGGGTGATAATTGCTATGTATTGTTATGTAATTGTTCTGTATGTGCAAAATGCAGTGTTTTTAAGTCAACTAATATTATTAGCAAATTTTAAAATACAACTGATTAAGTGGAGCGTAACATTACTGAAATTTGTGCTTAAGTTTTAATTAGTACTCCACTGTCTTAGCGGGTTTTCGTACTCTCCTTGCACTGATACTGACAGGTACTTTTCCTGGAGCGCTGCACGGTATGTGAGTAGACATTATGGTCTAATGCACATAACGGATGAGCAGACGGAGGTGATTGCATTGGTGGTGATATCTAAATTATAATCACTTGAAAGTGTGGACATTGGTTCGTGCTGAGGCGTCGGTCTGTACGGTAGGCCGCTATGTGGATAGTAACATGCCGCAGTGCAAATAGGAGATTAGCAAACGGAGTGGATTACTTAGGCGGTGATAGCTTTATTTTAATCACTGGAAAGTGTGGAAATTGGTTTGTGCTGAGCTGTCGGTCTGTACGGTATATATGAATAGTCATCATATCCTGATGCAATAGACGTGGAATTTCGCTTATTATTACCATATTGAAATAAATGAGCTCAGCTTAGTCTTGTTCAACAAGCTGCGATCGTAAATTTAATGTACAACAGACACATGAAAATATATAGAAATGTTACAGATACAAATTATTAACAAGGGAAAAATGAAGACGTTTAAATAGACGCTCTTTGGAACACGGAATTAATTCTAGACATATTGAGATGTTACTGATATTTTTTACTTGTAATATTAAATGTTAGTATTCCGGTAATGAAAATAATTCAAACCACAAGAATATATACACAACCGTCGATGTCGGATTAACGGGACTTGACTGTATATATATATATATATATATATATATATATATATATATATATATATATATATATATATATATATACACTTCGTCACCACACATTTTTCAGTAAAAGTAGAAAATATAATTATCGGAATTTTTAAACTACAAGTACAGATTTCATATACTACACAATCTGTGAAGATAATATCACAAACACACCCTTTTCCGAGATGCACGTGCATGCTTGAATTGAGCATGCTTGTACCGGGGGTTGGATTGCTAAAAATGCAGCATGCACATAGCCTCTTTTGGCGAATGTTATGTTTGTTGATACAGCTAAAATTTGGTTTTAGGCATAAATTAGGCTTCATTTTGACCAGGAGCTGTTGGGTAGCCTAGTGGTTAAAGCGTTCGCTCGTCACGCCGAAGACCCGGGTTCGACTCCCGACAGGGGTACAATGTGTGAAGCCCATTTCTGGTGTCCCCCGCCATGATATTGCTGGAATATTGCTAAAAGCGGCGTAAAACCACTCACTCACTCAATCACTCACTCTGACCAGCCATTGAAATGCGTCCAGTGCCTCAGAACCAAAGCTGGCAAATTATTGGTATGCACCAGACTGGTATGTCATGTCGTGCTATTGGAGTACAACTGAACATTAATCACACTGTCATCAGCAGGCTAATACATAAGCATACTGCTTCCGGTGAAGTGAAGGATGTACCGAGGTCTGGACGTCCGAGAAAAACCAATGACAGGGAAGATCGTGCTCTCGTACGCCAAGCTAGACGAAGCCCAAAGTCTACTTGTACACAGCTGCGACATGGATGGCATTCATACAACAGAGTGTCCATCAGCACCTTCAGACGACGCCTAAATTCTGCAGGATTGAAAGCAAGACGACCAATCAGACATCACAAATCAGCACCGCCATGCCCGTTTAGCCTGGTGCAAGGCACGTGCTCGCTGGAACCTGTGGACATTGAGCAGGATCCACTGGTCCAATGAAAGCAGATTTTTGCTGCATCATACACACGGGAGGGCGCGAGTTTGGAGGCAGAGAGGCACAGCATATGATCAGAGGAACATTCAAGCTGATGTTCCATTTGGGGGTGGATCCGTCATGTTGTGGGGTTGTCGTAAACTTGATCTCATCACAGTTCCCGGAACACTGAATGGACAGAGGTACCAGAACTTGATCCTGGGCGGTGCTGTTGTACCTCATTTCGATAAACATGCTCTCGCCACACGTCCAGTCTTCATGGACGATAATTCCAGACCACATCGTGCTCGAGCTGTTGTTCAGCATCTCCAACACAACACCATTGAGACACTACCCTGGCCTTGCAGAAGTCCACATTAATCCTATTGAGCATTTGTGGGACATTTTGGGACGTAGGGTGAGAGCAAGGGATCCTCCAGTTCAGAACCTTCAGGAATTGACCCATGCATTGCATGATGAGTGGCAACAGATCCCCCAACAGAGATTCAGACGTCTGGTGACCAGCATGAGACGTGTAGAACATGTTATCCAAGTGCGAGGCGGTTACACTAATACTGAGTTAGCCAGTCATAGTGGACCTTACTAGTGTGTTCGACATTAATGAAATGTGAACTGCGTTGTGTGTCTGTTGTAGCGACTCCGGCAGCCATACTTATTTCACGGTGATTTTAGTGAACTTTAGTTTGCTGCAATTAAACCCACAATTAGTGCTCAAATTCGGTCTTGTGTTGTCAATTTTCTGACTGAACGCTCACATGAGGCCATAAAAAGAGTTTAATGTGCTTTCCTAAGCACCATTTTTATGAGGTTGAAGATCCAGTTTTACTTTGTGAAAAAAGTGGTTGGTGCGATATTTATGACCAGGTGTATATATATATCCTTTTTACAAATTTAATACAAAGTAATTGAAATATGCAAAGATTAGATATCATCACAAGTATTATAATTGAAGCCGCTCTTTATGTTTTATTCCATGTTAAGTTTACATGGCCAGATTGGCAAACAAGCCTGGCTGGGTTAAATTAATGCCACTCTGGGTTAAAAAAGCATACCATATGCATACATATATATGGTTTGGTTCGGTTTGACACATCAATCAAGATAGCATTATAATGGCTAACACTGTTGTGGTCAGTCCATGATGAACACGATAGGATGTTACAGTGATGTGTGCTGATGTAAACAGATAAAATATTTTCGGTTTTGTGAAGTACCACTGTGTGTTTAGAGTGTGTGTTTGTTGTTTTACGCTGCACTAAGCAATATTCCAGCTATATTCTAAATAAACGAGTCTTGACCAGACAATCCAGTGATTGACATCATGAGCATCGATCACTGCAGTTGGGAACGATGACATGTATCAACTAAGTTAGTCGCCTCTTACGACAAGCATAGTCGCCTATTACAGCAAGCATGTGTTGCTGAAGTCCTATTCTTACCTGGATCTTCACGGGTCCTGTGGTAAAGAATCATGCGGTGTTGCCAAGGGACAGATATATGTGATGGTTTAAATGAATGGCCTGTTTGATTGCAATGCGGAAATATTATATTGCTTAATTCCAAAAATTTTAATATATTCATATTTGTAAAAAACAGCTCGTATGCATTTTATTGTATTTATTGTATCATCATTGTACAAAACTACTCGTAAAGTAATAGTACACTAATTGTATATATAGATGTTCTTATTTGTAAAAAGAGGCGGTTTGGTAGCCTTGTGGTTAAAGCGTTTGCTCGTAACGCCGAAGACCTGGGCTCGATTCCCGACATGGGTACAATGTGTGAAGCCCATTTCTGGTGTCCCCTGCCATGATATTGCTGGAATATTGCTACAAATAATAAACCATACTCACTCACTCATTATTTGTAAAAAAGCTGGCATACACTGTATATTTATGTTTTATCATTGTACAAAATCTGTTGTATATTTAACAGCAGTTACACATTGTATCATACTATTATGTAATAATTGAATTGTCGTTGTGTTCATTGAAATTCCTGCATTCTGATTAACTGAATTGGTCACGTGTTATTGTATTCATTTCCCAATGAA